GTTTAGGGTTTAGGGTATAGGATTTCGGGTTTAGGGTGTAGGAGCTCTTCAAGTTCAGGTTCAGGGAGGGTTTAGGGCTTAGGATTTAGGGTTTAGGGTTTAGGGTTTAGGGCTCTTCAAGTTCAGGTTTAGGGAGGGTTTAGGGCTTAGGGTTTGGGGTTTAGCGTTTAGGGTTTAGGGCTTAGGGTTTAGGGTCTGCTGTTAAAGGTTAAAGGCTTTGCAGCCCGCCCCCCGAACCAGGAGCCCGCCACCCCAAAAGCCAAACCCGTGAATCTCGAAGTGAAAAACGATGCACTTACAACCACCCTAAACCCTAAACCCTAAAGCCTAAAACCTAAACCCTAAACCCTAAAGCCTAAACCCTCTTCTGCTCCCGCAACCCTGAGCCCCACCACCCAGAAAAATCCCAAAAAGCTGCGCGTCCTCCTCGCTGATCGGCTTACAGCGGACCTGTCATGGAAGATCTAAACCCTAAACCCTAAACCCTAAACCCTAAACCCTAAACCCTAAACCCCTAAAGCCTAATCCCGCTTCGGGCCGTGGACACGAAAGAAACGAGCATCTCTGTCTCCGATCCCTCAGATGTTCCCTGGCACCGCAAACCTTCGCCAAAGACTGGCTACCCATCTCTTCGAGGTCCCTCTGCCGTTAGTGACTGCCTCTAGAAGATGAACTCCAACATCCATACAACCTAGATGGGCTCTGAAGTACAGAAGGGCGAATTATTAGAATCACAGAAAACTTGTCCTAGACAATGGGCTTCTCCATCTTTCTGTACACCACATGCCGAAGTATCCTCCCCTAAACACATGCTGCTTAAATCACTTCGAAACTCTTCCGAATGTTGGGGGAGGGGGTGCATGCAGACCGGCCAAGTCATACCTTGAACATCCACGAATCAAAACACTGAAGAGCGTGATCTCGCGACGATGCCCTGAAAGTTGCGAGCCACTAAGTTCAGAAGATGTTATCGATGGCGCCACGATCCTCCCCTAAGGCCCTAAGGCCACACAAGGGGGTGTATTTGGCTTCAGGAGCAACATGGGCCGATGTCCAAGCCTTACAGCTCAATGTGTGGGCCTGTAAAGGGAGCAGCTGTCATGTCCCTCGTCCACCGGGGGGGGGACGGATGTCTGATGAGGTATAACAACCGTCACATGAGTGGGCCTCTTTGCTTGTGAGGTTCACACGGCGAGATCCATCTCGCCAGCCGGCATGACCAAGCCCGCAAGCTCAGACTGGCAGTACCCTAAACCTTCCTCCTGTGGCTCGTGAACGCCACACCCTTACGTTGCATTGCCACTGACAGCAAGTATGCCAGGATGCAGACCACAAAGCACGGTTCTTAAGTAGCCAAAGCCCGAACCCGACACTCGACACCCTAACACCTTTCAACCCATGCAACGCAACAAGGCAAGCGGTGCACCTCAGTCCCGTCGCCGAACATGACATACGGGGCGCCCCCTTTGACACCTTTGACCTTGACAGTGTAAGGACGTTGCAGGGCCACCACAACACCAGCATGAGAATGAGCACCATCTGCAACAGCAGCAGCAGTGGCACCATCATACCAGCAACCACCATCAGCAAACCACAACAGCGACAAAAACGTAAGTTGTAGTCACGATAAAGATGCTGAACCCGTGGGCCCATAACGACAAGAACGAGACGAAACACTAAGCATATCGACGGTACTACGGCACACCTCGCTGATACAGGCTTATAGCATGTTGCACGCTCGGATAAGCTTCAGAACTAGCGTATAATAATAGCTAAAGAGCATTCGGAATCCACTTGGAAGGCTAGCTCAAGGCTTTTGTCTGAGCAATCCAAGAGTTTCAAAACTGCGGCGGGGCGAGGGGCCTCTCACTTATGCTCAAACCTTTCAGGGGTTCTTCTGAACACAGTTTTGGGACCCTGGCTTCGAGCAAACTCCCACCAGGTACTTTGGAGGAAACTCGTTCGAAGGCCCTCCTGCCCCATCCGAAGATAGGGGCCTGAATAATTACCAATACTATTTTGGGGGTTCGCGCCTTATCTTAAATATAGGATAATGGGCCCCAATACCCTATTCGAATTAGTGAGGCCCTAAGCCCTAAACCCTAAACCCTATATTACCGAGCCCGGCCTGTCCCAGCAAAGACTTGAAGAAGGCAGTAGGTCGCACCTTCGCAGCACGACAGATTGCGGTGCTCCAGGATTGGCATTGAGCTTTAGGGTTTAGGGTTTAGGGTTTAGGGTTTAGGGTTTAGGAAAGAATGGCCCCACCTGCTTAAAAGTATGACTAAGGAAGACCATGAAGCGTGCAAACGGACTTGACCTGGACCCTAAACCCAACAGCAAAAAAACAACCGAGACCGTAGAGCCTAGAATCCCTAAACCCTCATTCCTAAACCCTAAATCGTGGGGCCTAGAACCCCGAACCCCAACACGGATCTTCGAAGCCATCATCAATATAAGAGTATGGGCCCCTGACCGTGGGATCCTTATACACCTACTATATACCCTATATGTAGCTTTAAGTGTCCCTAGAAAGGCCTGAGGGTCCATATTAGGGGCCCATACCAAAAAATCCTAAACCCTAAACCCTAAACCCATGGACAAGCAGATCGGAGGTCCTGAGGCTTGGAGGCTGCTGGGGGTTTGGGGTCTTGGGGTCTTGGGGCTTTACGGCTTTAGGGGTTTAGGGCTTCAGGTGCTTTGGGGGTTTAGGAGTTTAGGGTTTAGGGGGTTTAGGGTTTAGGGGGTTTGGGGTCTTGGGGCTTTGGGGCTTTAGGGGTTTAAGGTTTAGGAGGTTTGGGGTCTTGGGGCTCCTTTTGTTTGGGGGGCGTTGGGAGGTTGAGGGTTTGGGGTGCGACTGAAACATTCCTCCCGTGCTGAACGCTTGGTAACTCAAGCATCGAACCTCTCCTGCAGCCGATATCTTCAAAAACGCCACAAGATCTCGGTCGCCAAAGGATCACGCTGCATCAGCTATGATGCCTATCACCCTTGGATTACTGTCAGTTTTCGGGTGTCAAGCATCCGAAGGCGAAGGAATGAGGGCACGGGGCTTATTGTAGAGGTTCCGATGACCCCGGCTGTAGTACTGGGTCTAGAAAATCGGGCACGGCTGCTAAATACCCCAAACACTAAACCCTAAACCTTAAACCCTAAACCCTAAACCCTAAATGTACCGCTTCAGGATCGGAGGGCTCAAGGCTTCTCTGGTCTCACGGACCTTTAGAGCTCCGTCAAGAGACCCCGACCCGATAGAACCATTAACAAAAAGTGTACAAACCCTATATAAACCCTTGAGCCCAAATCCTAAACCCTAAACCATCCTAAACCCCTAAACCCCTGAACCCCTAAACCCGAGCCCCTAAACCCGAACCCCTTAACCCTAAACCCNNACCCTAAACCCCTAAACCTCCAAACTTTGGGCCCCCAAACGATGGAGTAGGACATCTTCTCACCCTCCTTGCAGAGATCAGCCTGGGTCGGTTTCCAGGAGTTTAAGGCCTTAGGGCTTTTAGGATTTTTTAGGCTTCGGGGTCGGGGGGTTCGGGTTTAGGGTGTGCGGTTTTAAACTTCAGGGTTTAGGGTGTTTTTTTTTTTTT